TGTTCTTTGAGATATAGTCTCACTCTGTTGCACAGGCTGTAATGCAGTGGTGCGTCTCGACTCACTGCAACCTCTGCCTCCCAGGTTCAAGCAATTCCTCTATCTCAGCCTCCCCAGTAGCTATATTTACAGGCTCGTGCCACCACACCCAGCCAATTTTTTTATTTGTAGTAGAGATGGGATTTCACTATGTTGGCCAGGCTGGTCTCAAACTCCTGGCCTCAAGTGATCTGTCCACCTTGGCCACCCAAAGGGCTGGAATTTCAGGCGTGAGCCACAGTGCCCAGCCTCTGAACTCTTATTATCCAAATTCTGGGGTCAACAGCTGCAGACATGCTATCAAATAAATCCTTCCCCTCCCAAGCTCTCACTAGTCTCTATCTGAAATTCAGCCTCACTATCCAGGCATTTAGTTATTTATTTATATTATTTATTTTGAGACGGAGTCTTGCTCTGTCACCCAGGCTGGAGTACAGTGGCACGATCTTGGCTCACTGCAACCTCCGCCTCCTTGGTTCAAGTGATTTTCCTGCCTCAGCCTCCCAAGTAGCTGGGATTACAGGTGCTTACCACCATGCCCAAACAATTTTTTTGTTTTGTTTTATTTTAGTAGAGACGGGACTTTACCATCTCGACCAGCCTAGTCTCAATGGAACTCCTGACCTCAGTGATCCACCTGCCTCCCAAGTTGCTGGAATTACAGGCATGAGCCACCACAGCTAGCCTTCCCAGGCCTTTAATATCGGAGTTGGGAAGTGAAGAGGCTAGGAGAGTGAAGGATACCTGCATTTTCACCCATGGTGTTAGCCGCTGGGTAGGCCTCTTTAACCCAGAAAGTTTGGGTTCTAGGAAATTATTTTGTGAATTTCATCCTGTTTTCCCTATTCTTTCTTGCTGAAACTTTTTAAAAAGTATTTTATTTTTTTAGAGATGGGGTCTTGCTCTGTCACTCAGGGTGGATTGCAGTGGCATGATCATAGCTCACTGCAGCCTCGAACTCCCAGGCTCAAGTGATCCTCCCACCTCAGCCTCCCAAGTAGCTGAGACTACAGGTGCACACCACCACACCTGGCTAATTTTTAAATCCTGTTGTAGAGATGGGGTCTTGCTATATTGCCCAGGCTGGTCTTGAACTCCTGGCCTCAAGCGATCCTCTCTCCTCAGCTTTGAAACTCTTATTATTCAGCTGCTGACTCCCTGATCTAATCCTGTTTCTTTTTTCTCTTTTTCCACCTCATTGCTTTTCTGTTCTATTTTCTGAGGGAGTTCCTCAACTTTATTTTTCACCCACTAACTGATTTTCTTATTTCTGCTTTTAAATATATATATTTTTTTGTATCTGAGAGTTCTCTTTTTGGATCTCTGAATGCTCCTTTTGGTGGCTTTTTTTTAGAGCTTCCTGTTCCCGCCTTGTGTATGTGATATTTTCTCCATGTGTCCATTAATGGCAGCCTGTTTTCTACGGCTCCTTCCTGCACGCTCTCTTTGCTTCCCCGTGTGTATTGCAGTCTCTATCTCCCGTAGCAGGGGTTTTATTCAGATGCCCTTGGTTATCTGCTCATATTTAAGGGATGAGGATTTTTAAATCTTGATGCCTTGAACACTGGGAGGGGGTTATTAATTATGGGCTTCGTTAGCAAGGGATCCAGCTGGGCCTGCTGACGTGGGACACTCTGATGTCATTAATTTTAGGTCTTTACTCTTGGCCTACTCAGATTCCCCAAAGACATATCCAGCCTCCTGCCTAGAGGGAAAAGCCCCAGCTGGTCATGTTCTAGGAGCCAAAGGGGCCCTGTTCGCTTCCTCCTCCTCTGCCCCATAGGGCACTGCACCCCGACTCTGCACTCAGCTGTGCCTGGTGTTTCCCATTCTTCTCTGAAATATGTTTAAAGTTCCTAAATAGTTACAGAAACCACCACCTTGGTTAACAGCAGGAAGTAATAAGTTGGAGAGTCAATTATCTCCAGGGCTGGAGAACCACAGCCCTGCCTACAGCCACAGACCCACTAAACAGGTGTGAAACTAACAGCTACTCTCTGAAAAGAAAGACAATTTAAGAATTGAAACTCAAGATGCAAGGTTTTTTTTTTTTTTTAAAGACAAAGGAGCTGCAAGTGTTACAGTATTATCAATAACTGCTCTTTTTCCACCAATGGCTCCTTCAGCCCTGGGACCAGTCTAGAAGAGAATGACCCGCCAGCCTCAATGACTGCATAGTCAAGGAACGGCACGTCCAAGGTCAGCCAACCAAAATGCCTCTCTTCCACCCTCGATCCCTTCCCACTGGGGTTCCTGGGGATTCCCTCCTTGTACAGGCTGTCTCTTCTCTACAAGGTTACATCTCCTCCAGGATGGCCACAAATGCCTCCAACTCTGCAGGTCTAACCACCCAGCCCCAGCTCTCCTCATTGCAGGTGAGAAGTCCCAGCTGCCCTTGCTGTTACAGGTCATATCCCACAGAGTGCCACAGCCCAGTGGATCTGGCACCATCTTTCAGCTACATGCCTATCCCCACTCTCTCAGCTACTGTCCCAGACCCATACCCCACAAGGCTACTCAACTCAGCTCCACTGCCCAGACATGAAACCCACCTCCCGTATTCTCACTAGTACCATTTTTCTGAGACACATCTAATCGCATTGCACCCAAACCCTCACCAAAGGAATAAAAGCTCGAACTCCCTCGCACAGCCTTCACAGCCCTGCACAATCAGAAACCCATCTTTCCAGTCTTTTTTTTTTAACTCTGTCACCGAGGCTGGAGTGCAGTGGCCCAAAGTCAGCTTACTGCAACTTCCACCTCCGGGTTCAAGCAATTCTCTTGCCTCAGCAGTTGTGCGCCACCACACCCAGCTAATTTTTGTATTTTTATTGAGACGGAGTTTCACCGTGTTGGCCAGGCTGGTCTCGAACTCCTCACCGTGGTGATCCACTCCCCTCGACCTCCCAAAGTGCTGGGATTACAGGTATGAGTCACAGCACCCAGCCTTCCAGCCTTAGCTTCCAACCCAATCCTCAAACTCCACCTCATCAAGAACACAGCAACCCACCATCTCCCCCAAATGTCACTTTCACTTCCACATCTCTGCATGCCTTTGCCTCCACCTGGAATGTTCTGAACTCCATTCATGCTTCAAAGCCCAACTCATAGGTCCCCTCCACTGTGTAAAATGTCTCCACATTCTGTTAGCGCCTGGACCACAGCCTCAACCCCACACTGTGGTCGCCAGGCTGACCATGAGCTCCCAGGGCAAGGCCCACGCTATTTCGGACATCTACCCCAGCTTGGCATCTTGCACTCAACTGGAGGTTCGATAATAAAGCCGGAGCCTGCTGAGTGACAGCAGTTACTGCTGGCCCCAAAGCATCAGCCCAAAGTCCCATCAACTCCTATGCAGGGAAATCAAACATCTATGCCATTCCAGGCAGGCACTCTTTCAGATGTCAACCGTTGCACCTTTGTGTAGCAATTTCCTCACTGCCCCCATTTTCTTTCCGTCCTCACTCTGACTCCAGATACTCACGGAGAGGGGCTAACCCGTGTCCCGGTGTAAGGGTTGGGGGAACCTGCTGAGCTGTCCCCAGCCACCCACAGCCGGGAGCACCACTGTAGGGCCTGGTGTCCTGGAAGATGTACCACGTCCAGCACTGCGCCTGCAACTCACATTCCTATTCACCCCGGGGCTTCCGAGTCCCCACAGCCCCGACTAGGAACTAAATAATTTAATAATGCTGGAAACACTACTGCTTGTTGTGCTGCCTGCCAGACGGAGGCTCTGCCCGAGCCAAGGCTTTTCCAGTGGTGTCCTGGTGGCCGGGAGCCCGCAGAGAAGGTCTGAGTCCCACTGTTCCCGGACTAAATGCACGGTTTCCTCTTGCAGAGGGGCAGGGCTGCGGCTTCTGGAGCGAGAGGTCATTTAAGGGATACCCTGAGCGGCCTGGCGGTGCTGCTGGCCTCTGCAGGTTCCAAGGCTGCGGTCGGAGGGGCCGGGGAGCCCCGTTCAGGTGACAGCGTGCACCGTGGGTGGGGGGGAGGGAGTTCGAGGGGGAGATCCGTTCAGGTGACAGCGGGCACGGGGTCCCTAGGGGGCCGGGGGCCTTGGAACTCCATGCCAGGGAAGCGGTCATGCCCCTACGGGGCAGCAGAGGCTGATGTCGGGCAGGGGGACTCCTGGGGGCCGGAGGGACCGCTGCAGCCTCTGCTGTCGCTGAATCAGAACCACGGATTTCTCGTCCAGACCCTAAGGAACCGCAGAACGCGCTGATCAGGGCCCCAGGGCTGGGTCCCCAAGGCCGAAGGCGAAGAGCGGGGCTCAGAGAGGGCGCGCGCCAGGCCAAGGTCACAGAGCGCGTCAGCGCGGGGACTCGAACCCGGGCCCATGCCGCGCCCGCCAAGCCGGGCTGAAGAGAACCGACCCGTACCCCTCAGCGCGGCCCGGGACTCCAGCCCCGGCCCCAGGAGCTCCGCACTGGCCGAGAGAGAGGGAGGCCGCGCCCCGAGCCCGTCGCCTGCCGCCTGCCGCCCTCCGCCCTCCGCGCCCCTCAGCTCGCTCGTCTCACCTAGCGCCCGCAGCCGCCGCCACCGCTGCGCCGCGACTAGCGGACCCTCCGAAGGCCGCCCTCGCCGGCCCCGCCCCTGGCGCCTGAGCCCCGCCTCCCGCTCATGTTCTCGCGAGATATCGCTGTCGCCGGAGGGGCCACGGAGGCCGAAGGGCTCCAGCCCTCAGCGCGCCTGCGCCCCGCCAGCCCGCCCCCGCTGTCGCGAGTCAGTGCCATGTGGCGCCGTATTTACGGCCAGAGATTAGCCCCGCCCACCTGCCGCCACGAGCCACGCCCCCTTTCTCAGCAGCTAATCTGCGGCGTAGACTCTGCCCCGGCTGGTCGGGCGCGCGGCGTCTCCGGGGCGCGCAGCTGTCTCGCTGCTCCAGCCCGGAGCGCCACGCTGCAGTCAAATATGATCCCGTTAGTCAACCTTGATGCAGTGCCTGTTGTTTACCCGACCGGTTCTCGAGCATCGGCTCATTGGCTGAGGATCGTGATGCTTACCGGCTGGGGCTTGCAACTCGCTGTGTGACCTTGGGCAAGTGACTTAACCTCTCTGAGGTTGTCTCCGATCCATAAAATATAATAGGTTAGTGACCCTACCTTGCAGGGAGTTTGTGAGACAAATGAGATGGCACGGGTAAAGAGCTTAGCTAGATGCCTAATGCCTAGTGAGTATGCAGTAATTGTTCTTGGCATCAATGTAGTTTTGTTTGTGTGTGTGTTTGTTTAGAGACAGGATATCACTGTCGCCCTGGCTGGGGTGCAGTGGTGCAATCACAGCTTACTGCAGCCTCCACCTCCTGGGTTCAAGCCATTCTCCCACCTTAGCCTCCTGAGTAGCTGGAACTACAGACAGGTGCCACCTCACCCCGATAATTTTTAATTTTTTTTTTTTTTTTTGAGACGGAATCTCGCTCTGTCACCAGGCTGGAGTGCAGTGGCGCGAGATCTCGGCTCACTGCAGCCTCCACCTCCCGGGTTCAAGCGATGCTCCTGCCTCAGCCTTCCGAGTAGCTGGGATTACAGGTGTGCACCATCACCACCAGCTAATTTTTGTATTCTTAGTAGAGACCGGGTTTGACTATGTTGGCCATGATGGTCTCCATCTCCTGAGCTCGTGATCCACCGGCCTCAGCCTCTTAAAGTGCTGGGATTACAGGCTACCTTCCAACCCAAGGTCATCTCTTTATTCTTCACTCCCTGCAGCCAATCACAAAGGAGTCCTCACCTGCCAGACCCTGGAAATGTGGAAGTGAGGGAGATGGGCAAGGCCCCTGCCCTCCTGGGGCATATATTCTAGTAGGGGGAAAAGCAAAAAACGACCACCACAAAATATATGTGTATATTATATATACACACTCACAGTAGATAATATGTTTATACACATGTGTAATGCATACATGTTATCTACTATGTGTATGTATGTAGTATATACATTTATATATTGTACACATACATATATAACTGTATTATGCATGTATGTGTATATGTTGCATACATACATATATGTAACTGCATGTACATAAATAATATGCCAGCCTCTAGCAATGTCTCCCTTGATCCCCATCTCAGCTTAGAAATTTCTCACTATCAGCGGTGCACAGTGGCTCACACTTGTCATCCCAGCACTTTGGTAGGCCGAAGCGGGGGGATCACGAGGTCGAGAGATCGAGACCATCCTCGTCAACATGGTGAAACAGGGGTCTCTACTAAAAATACAGAAAATTAGCTGGGCATAGTGGCGCATGCCTGTAATCCCAGCTACTCAGGAGGCTGAGGCAGGAGAATTGCCTGAACCCAGGAGGCAGAGGTTGCGGTGAGCCAAAATCACACCATTGCACTCCAACCTTGGTAACAAGAGCAAAACTCCATCTCAAAAAAAAAAAAAAACAAAAGCCAGGCTGGGCAAGGTGGCTTATACCTGTAATCTCAGCACATTGGGAGGCTGAAGTAGGTGGGGGGGTCATCTGAGGTCAGGAGTTCGAGACCAGCCTGGCCAACATGGTGAAACTCCATCTCTACTAAAAATACAAAAATTAGCCGGGTATGGTGGCAGGCACCTGTAATCCCAGCTACTCAGGAGGCTGAGGTGGGAGAATTGCTTAAACCTGAGAGTAGAGGCTGCAGTGAGCCAAGATCATGCCATTGCACTCCAGCCTGGGAGACAGAATAAGACTCTGTCTCAAAACTAATAAATAAATAAATTAAATAAATAAACAACATTATTACTTTTGTTATGTCAGTTTCACCTCTTACATTAGCAGCATCTTGAATACACTAAATGCCCCTGAATTGCTCACTTTAAAATGGTTACTTTTACCTTATGTCAGCTTCACCTCTTATATCAGCAACATGCAGATATATTTTACTTACCCTCTCTGAAGTGGCTATACCATATCTCCTGGTTTACAGATAAGGAGGCAGGGTACCAGAGAAGGTAACCAACTAGCCAGAGACACAGAGTTGTATAAGCGACAGAGCCAGGACCCGAATCCAAATTATAGGCCCCAAAGATGGAGCCATGCTACAGCCTTGTGACTTCCTTGGCCAGGGCCTCAGCTTGGCCCTGGAGACACCTCACTGTG